GCAAATTGCAAATACAAGTTGACATGAGTACCTCTCATAACATATTAGCAGTCGCCAACAAAGTACTTGAACTCATTTAATCCTGTCCATGCATAATCTTTCAGTTAGACCTTTACAATCTTTCGGCAAAAGCATGTGTTATATACTTCAAGATACCACCTAAAAAGAAGAGAATAAATACATGTACTATGATAAGAATATCTATAATATTTTCCTTTAAAAGAGGTGGAAAACTCCTATCAAGTTCTACTCTATCATCTATGAAGTACGGACTAATATACTTAACCATAATGTTTATCACTAATTTTTCATAAATAATAGTGAATCTATCACAACTTTTGTATAAAGATACGCAATAGTTTTACTGACAATCCGTTAAACGAAAGTATATTAATATTAACATCTAATTGAAAATTAGTTCTCTCATAGTTGAAACTCTAAATATTATTATACCTTTGGTGGTCAATGAGAAGGCACTTTGATTAGTGTTTCCCAAACTTACAAAAAGTTATAAACAAAATTAAAGCTACAAGATATATTGGTAAAGGAAATACAGGTCACTATTATTACTCATATGTTAACTTCAAAAGTGTGTTATAGTAGTATAAAAAAAAATGCTTTTAATCAAAATAATACATGTGACTTAGTTAGTATAGAAGATCAGTTCCCACTTCTCACCATGTAATTTAAAGGTCATAACTTTAACCTCCCTCTTCCCATTCTAAAGACTAGGATAGTACATTGGGTCAAACCGTGTTAGTTCATAACTGACACAGTTTTCATTTTCGTCCATCCCAAAATACTTGATACGTTACCAAATATGGAATGAGACCACTAATAAAAAAATATTTATCTATACTCTATTTGGGACCACAAACACCATAACCAATTAAATCCTACATTTTCTCTCTCCTCACTACCCTCACCTTTTGTTTTCTTACAATATTAAATTACAAAAGAGAATCCTTTATATAATAAAGAAATGTTGTAAATGGACTCACCTGTAATTTTCTTAAACTACATGTCCACCCCAACGTCCAAAGTATTATGGGACGGAGCGAGTATATCATTAATATTACTTTGTATATGAATAAGCATAACTGAATAAGTGTATCAACAGGGCTTTTAAATTTTTAACTATCTATTAGCAAAGCTACTAAAAAGTTAATATTATGAAACATACATAGTGAGTTTGTGACCAATCAAACAAAACTTTATAAAATTAACATTAATTAGCCCTTTACATAAGGGTATAAAATCAAGTCAAAGTCAGGTATGTAAATAGAGCAAAAGTCAAACTAATAGTCTAATACACTTAATCAATTAGCAAAATAAGCAACACATGTGAGTGATGTGAATATTATTTAAAATCCAAGGGGTAGAAGATAAGAAGAGTTTGTTAGCAAAAATGACTCTTTTCATAAACTAAATGAATTCAATACAGATTCTCTCATCTCCCACTCAAGTGATAGGGGTTTGATTCCAAGGGGGAGGGTGTTTGAGGAAGGACTTGAAATGGGTGGAGCTACTAAACTAAGATAAGCGTCATACTTGTTCAAAAGAAAAAAAAAAATGACAATGATTGTTAAAAAAGGATTAAATAATAGCTTATATGATCTCTTATTATAAGACTTCATCAATCATCATTAAACATAGGGTCCTTTATATTGCCTAATAATGATCATGCAATAATATTCCCTATGGTCTATGTCTATTATTGGACTAGACTAAGAGGTGAGCAAAACATGAAACTACTAGAGGGACTTCACATCCGTAGAAGTCTTATTCTTATTCAAAGATAGGTTAATTTTTATATCAAACTAGGAAATAAAATTTCACAATAGGAGTAGAAGCTATCGTTAGGGAGGAAATAAAGGAGCCCAAAAAACACCCAAAAAAGCCAAATCTTACTATTAAGAAATTCTTTATTTCAGCCATAAAATTCGCAATTTAGTATAGTTCTAACTTCATTTGGAGCTATTGGAAAGATTCATTGTACTACCAATATAATATACTTTAAGCTGAAATTCAGGACAAAGCAAGGAAAGTGGCATGACTGCAAATATGTCCACTAAACCAATGTATACAGCACTACGGCAACAACGCCGAAGGTTTCTAAATTCCCTGACCAACTAAACTCGAATTTATGCTATCAAAAAGTAAGCATTTCTTCCTCGACATGAAGCTACACTCTCAGTCCAACACTTTCACTCACATAATCATACTATTTTAAGTGATAACACACAATAAACAACACATAATTAGCGGCCAACTAAGACCGTAGTCACCATACTATATTGTTGTTCAAGTGGACAACAAATCCTATTCTTGTTTGGAATCAAAAGTTGTTTTCTTACAGTACGCTATTCTAGGAAATTAAAAAAAAAATGTCACATTTTCTAGTAAGAATGATTTATTATTAGTTTTACTAGTATGTCACTACTATACCAACAACCACTGTTCAAGTGATTTAGCACTGAATTGTGCGGTGCACTATTGCCTATCTGGCAAAAGCGTCACCCTAAAGCAAAAAAGGTTCTTGGGAACACGTTGCAACAATGGCAATTACAAGTGAACACTCTAATCTATTGGTAACAAATTGGGCACGAGGGTGTTTGGGACTTGTGACCTCCCAGTTAGCCAAATCAAGCACAATGAGTTTATTGGGGTGTCTATGAAGTTGAGATGCCTAAATGCATGAACACTAAAGCAAAAGGCAATGGGTAGAAAATAACCTAATTAAAACAAAGTCATTATGTGGTCACCGCCATTGGAATGTAAGAAAAGGTAAAGTAAAAATGTTGTGTCTCAAGTTGTAATCTACAACATGAGAAATCTGCAACTTATGTTTCAATGTTTCATAGGCTTATAATTCCAAAATCATCTACTTAAGGAAAAATAATAACATAAAGACATTCTAAAAGCAAAGTGGCTCTTCCTATAAGGATCCGTCCTCCAAAGTCATGCTGATCATGCGAATTCTTGAAATAAACTACACATCAAAGCCACAAATTCCAGGAAAGAAAAGCAAGCATAGTGAGATTCCTAGGAGATAAATAAATGATCTTCGTACAATATTGTCCACTCCTTTCCTTCTAAATACAAGATATCATAGAGTGCTAAAAAAAACATAATCTACCCATAGTTTAAACACCTACTTGGAATGCCACTTTCAATTCTAAAAGTACTGGCTTAAAATATTACTAAATAGGAACATATCAGCCAGAACCTTGACCAGCTTATTCCATGTTCCATCATATCAAACTGTTGCTTCTTTTACAACTTAGGAAGCAAAACTAACCACAGAGATCATTTAATATGAACAAGATTTTTATACTTCAGTATTTTTGCAATAGAAGAATGTTATACGCTAACTTCCTTCATCTTCTTTAATCAATGAGGTTAAGGATAAGATAGTTCCTAATTATCCAATATAATCATCCTAAGTATATATAATACTTAATTCGTTTTTCTATTAGTTACTAGACATGTTTGCTAACACATACTTTGACCATTAGTATCTTTAATTGTGTTTTCATAAAAGGTTATTTTAAAAGAAAGTATATTTTGACAACATATATGGAGATAAACTCAGCAAAACTTAACATAATGAAGTACTATCTGCCTATGGTAGATGGGTAACCTTAATGACAACCAGTGCATGAAACATTGCTACACCCCTTCTTTTTTTAAAATAAAAAATAAAATAAAATAAAACTGACCCTGGATCTCCTTCCCGGCCAACTTCAAATACAATATTTCTACATAGCAGTAAAGTAATCCTGAAAAAATTGGCAAGCACAAAAGCAGTACTATGTTTTACAAGCCCCTAAATCTAGCGCAAAAATAGCATTCTAGGCTACTTTAGCCCTAATCTTCCAATAAATCTAGACTACATTAATAAATCATGTTCTCCCTTCTTTCAAACACAAGAGGGTATTAATTTCGCACTGAATCAATCTAACCATGTTCTCTTATTATCTTTTAATATAACTAACCACAAGTGGGCCATGGCATCTCCATCTAATTATTGCCTGGAATACTCGTCTACTCGAAGCTTAAGAGGCCAAGTCATCGTCTAAACTATATCAGTATTTAAAAAATTCTTAATACGTTTATAAAAATTAAAATTAAAATCTCTACTCTGTTTTAAGCCTAAGAGTTCCAAGTGTAGCTAAAAACCAGGTTTCACTCCCCAAAGTGTGTCACCTAGCACAAAAAAAATCTGGAAAAGATGCATTCAACACTTTATTGATATGAACTCAAGATGTTAAGCACACAAAACTGATTTTAAATGAATAAAACGACCTTAATTATGCATTACAGCCCACGTATAAAACAATTCTAACAATCAGTTAAGCCCAAACTTCACTGACTTGACTCAGAGACCAAAACATAATCAAACTCACACTCTTAAAAATTATAATCTGTAATCAAAAGACTAGAGTGTTAAAAGCTCAGTCTTCAAATGTTCAACATCAATCCTAGTGTGTGGTAACCATCAAGACCCACCCTAAAGTTTGAACTTAGCCATCAATGATTCAATGTCTACAACATGGTGCTATGCTATGTCCTAGAGTGTCTCATTTATTCAATGCCATGCTAAATTCATACTCTTCGACTTTAATATTCTTATAATTTTGAGCAATCCTGATAAGTGGTCACTCACATTGGAAATAGTCACTGATAATAACTACTTTCTTCATCTGAATTTGGTTGACAAATTACTTGTTCAAACTACACTATAAACATGACTTTTAATTTCAGGTGAGGGAGTTCAACTATAAGAGAAATGGGTTCTTAAGAGTTAAGAATGAACTCTGACATCACACTACCTATCCTTAATAAGTGACTTGACTTCCTCAGTGCAGATTTCAAATTTCAGTCCTTTGAGACATCCAGTCAAAGTCTGTGATCAAAGAGTCTAGTTTACAAGCTCACACTAACATTCTATTAAAGCCAAAATATACCCTTGGTGAGCTTGACTAACTGATAATGCCAACTGAGGGTAAGAGGCTTAACTAAACTCATTAAAGGGTCCTTGTAACTAATAGAAGGAATAATACTGCGTATAATTATGAAAAGAATTAAGAATATATGAATTTGAAGATCTAAAAAAAATTTCTTGTATACATTTATTTACTTTTTCAAAAAATAAGATGGAAGGGAACTTAGCAAACGATATACTCTGTCAAGCAAGCTTCACGTATTCTTCCCAATGTCGCATGGCTCATCCTTTCGAAGCCAGAAGTTAACTAGAAGTGAATCAATTATGATCTACACACATGGTACAAAAATGACTATAAAATTACACCTTCAATAATTATTCAGCTCGCAAACAAGAAATAGGAAGCATCAATTACTACATTAAATAAAGGTATCAGTTTAAGCAAAGTACCTGGTTCACATCAGCAGCTACACAAGGCAGAAGCAGTAAGCCAGTTTCACCTAACACACCTCCAAGCTGCTCCACCACAGCTGTTGCAATGAGCAAGGATCTCTATAACAAAACATATCACTTAAGAAATCAGCATACACCTAAGCAAAATGGATTATGGAAATAATCATCCACTTGCATATCTTTACAATCAACAGAGTCTATACCCCTCCACCAACTTTTTACATATACAATTAATAATTAATGTTAGGAAAAAAAAAATGATGTATGAGGAGCAAATAGTTAGAGAAATGCTGATACAAATTTCTCCTAAATCCAAGTACACCATAGAGATGGAAACCAATAAAACAGTTAACAGCAAAGATATCAACCAACCTGACTGCAAACCAGCGTTAAAGCCCTTCTATTTGCTTGCTTCTCAAATACTGGTTTCCAGGAAGTTGATCCAACAGATAAACTTCTCACCAAGGTGGCATTAAAAACTATAAAGCTCAGATGTATAAGTCTGCAGCAAAGAAAATTAATTAACCTAATATTCAACAATTTAGCCTCGGGACAACAGAGTAAGTATACACACATGAATGAGCACTCAGTCAGAAAAGTGTCAAGGAACAAATATAATGAAAGTTTACGAGCACCAAATGCTAAAAGCATAGGTACAAGGTTGAAACTTCACAAAATTAATTAATATCCGTTGTTTGAAATTAAAGTAATTGCTAAAAAATTTACTAGTTCCATGACCTCTAATTAGTTCAATTCCTGTTCAGACTGATTACAATTCTTTGATAATATGTTAGATGGGTCATGGCCTACACAGAAACAATGTAGAATCATTGGTTGGGGCCTGGAGTCAGTGATAGACTATTAGATGGCTGAACAAATCCAAAAAAATGTAGTGAAATAAACTTGATACCAACTGATAGAGATTGAAGCTGTGGCTGTTTCATAACCTTTTTGTTATTTAACTGTAATTCCTCCAAAATTACCCAGCTTGCGAAAAAACAGAGATGATGAAAAAGCAACATAATAAGGTAGATTGGAGAAGGCAATGAAAAAAGGTCCCCCTATTCAATGATCTTGACTTCTTGAGGAGTAACAAAGAGATTCATGACTTGAAGGAAAAAGAGAAGAAAACAGTTGTTATGTCTTTAATTACCTGTCCAAGAAAAATTGTTTTTGAATGAAAAAGATTAAATATGTTCCAGAAAATTTGCAATTTTTTTCCCAAAACCTTCAGAATGGAAAAGCTACTGCCAAGTGCCAACTGCATTGGGGAAATGTAGGCATTGGAAGACAGTCAAATAGTCAATGATACTAGATAGTAATCAAATGGTTTTATGTCCAACACCTCAAATAACTATTGATTCTATTCTAAATGGATGAGCTTATGTATTTCATTAGTTTCAAATTAATAACAACATAGAGGATTGACACTTGATGTTAAGGGTGTACAGAGCATTTTCTCCATAATTGCACCTTTGAATATATATGATCATATTTAGGACATCAGACCTCTAAAAAAAAAGTGTTCGTGCCAATGTAGATAAGAGAAAAACCATAACACAAGGATAGTGGTGCCCAGAAGATACTTCAATCCAGTAATGCTAAATTACAGTAAAATACAATTTTACATATTACGGAATATGAAATATAAGAGCAAGCGCATTTTAAAAAAAATGTACTCACATTCCAAGCACAATAGCACAAACAAAGGTTGCAGGCTTAACCATCAGAAGCAATTGTCGTGACTTGCCGACTTGCATCCATGGAAACTGAATCATGGTAAAAAGAGAGCTTAATATATGAACTACAAACTCAAAAAACCAGACACAAACTTGCCCACAATATTTTCATATAAAAGGTAACCTAAGTTCAAGAATTAAAACTTTACACTTTGAAACCATGGTGTTAAAACATTTCCATATGAAGCTCAAGACATCCCTGTAAAACACATAGATCCCCAACTTTTGTACATTAATGTCTCAGATTCTCATGGAAAAGACTTCATATGCTATTTGACTCATTTTATGTTCCTAGAAAAGCCAATCACATGCATTCCCACGTCAAATAAACTATTAAGCACCACAAAAACAACAATTCAGGACTTACAAAAGCAAGGAGAATTGAAGTGGTGAACGATAAAATCCTGTCATTCTGTTCAACACATCTTGCCATACCTGTTAAAACAACAAAGTATGAAAGAAACAGAATGGAAAAGAACCATCCACAGATAATTATGTAAACACCTTTGACCTCTCTCTATCTACCATTTAGCACTTTAATGAGGCCTAGTTCCCTAAATTTCCTCCTAAACCAAAGCTAAATGTTGCAGAACCTCACCTCACCCTCAAAACTTGCATAGGTCAGAATCTTTCATGAATTCAAATTAAGAGTCAGAGGAACGTAACCTTTCACTCTTGCATGAACAATTTTCAATCAAAAATCAGTATCTCATCAGCAATATTCCATGATCCCATCCCAGAATCCCAAATCCAAAGGAAGAAAAAACAAAAGATAGCCTTTTCTAATTAAATTCAACCCAAAAAGTCATGCTGAACCCAGCCTAAGGTCAGAGAAAATCTTACCAGGGAATGAATTCCGCAAAACCTGAAAAGAAAAAGGTCAACTTCAGATGCTTAAAGCACCATTAAACAAAATATCTATACTACTACCGGGAAAGAAACCTTGAAGTTTCTCAGATAAATTAAACAAGATGGGAACTACATCAAGCATGAAAAAAGGCATTATAAAGAAAATTTGAAGCAAGCAAGTAGGTATTATAGGATAGCTAATCATCAAAATAGAAATTAACGGTAGTCTTTATCATCAAATAATCTTTCTCACTATCAAGTGTACAGAATTTTCAAAATTTTAACAGAACCATAATCTGAAGCAGAAATAACCTTTCCCAGAATGAGAGGGACTATAAGGGTAACAAGAAGACTCTGGAAAAGCTGCCAAGTCGGAATTGTTACACCAAATCCATCAGCAAATAATTTCGTGATCCAGAGAGGCACCTACAATATAAAAGCTGGTTTAAAAAAAAATTTGACTACAATGTATTTATCAACCTAATGCATTAAAATGTCAATCAATGTGAAATAACTATCACTTGCTGGTTTCAGATCATGAGTCAACCAGAAACATCCTCCTTGTCACAGCAAAAGTAAAATTGCATACATTTGAGTATTTGACACCAACTAACCCTGCCATGCAGAACCATTTTGTAAAGGAATTGGATTAACATTTATGTTAATGTCAAAAAAGCTGAAGCCATTTGACTATCTAACATAAGTTATAGGTATGGATGAGAGCATATGAATTTATGAATCCTTTGAGTCAAACTTGAGAAAAAGGATCTGTGTAGTTTGTAACTAAATAAAGACAATTGTTTGGTTTTATCAGCCTGCATTACTATGGTAGCATTATAGATTGTAACCAGGTTTTTCGTAAAGTGCAAGAGGCAAGAGCTACTTACACATAGAACTCAAATCAAGTTTCTTCAATCCAAATCTCAATTTAATTTTTAAAGTGATACTTTGTGTTTTGAGTGCAAAAATGGAACATAGAAATTACCTTATAAAATTATTTCACTTAACAATATAACTCAATTTAGTCACTTAACAAGGTTACTGTTACTATCACATAGTTGATATTCTTATAGCAAAAGCACATACTCACAGGTCTCTCTCCTATCCATTGACAGGTAATCAGCTAGGTCAGCAACTCCAAACCCTTGCTCAATGTCACAAGCCTGCTCCTATTCCCAACCCCCTCCCCCCCCCCCCCCCCAACCACCCAAAAAAAAAGAAGAAAGAAAACGAAAAGAGAGAGAAGGAGACAGAGGTAAGGAAGAAAAGAATAAAAAAAAACTCAAAAAGACAAAGATGATGTGTGTTGATGCATGAGACTACTAGTCTACTACTCTACACAGGCTTTCTCAAGAGTCAGGTAATTCAGATTAAGACAGGGGATGAGTGAATATACAGATACTAATTGATAGAATGACAGCCAGAACGACAGCAGAGAGTTTAAATTATTTTAAAGGGGAGACTAAGGGATAATGTATCTTACAGTCAAAATGCCTAAAAGAACAGATACTACTGTCAGAGCAAGAGCCAAAGCAGAATTCCCACGTACAAGCTGGTGTCACAAAAATAGATAGAGAGTTAAAATAACTAGCAGATACTTGATTATAGCTCATAGAATCAAACTCAATGTCTCAATCAGATACTTGTGTAAGTGCTACTCCTCCGTTCAATGTCGTAGGCATACAGCTAAAAATCGCCAAGCCTGTCCCATGAGTCATAAAAAAAATAAAAAAGTTAGATGCATCGCACAATTGCATTGACTAAAATAAGCACTTATACACTGCATCTGCACTTTATGTTTCTGCCAATACATGCCTGTAATAAACTCCTGAGGTACCATTGGAACTTTGAGAATCAGCTTTGAATAGATAGGGCAGATCAGCAGGATGGAAGCCTAGAAGATAACAAAGAAAACAGTAATAAACATCATTTCCCCAAACCTTTGTCATCAACAATTTTAACAAGTTAGAGAACATATGACGGAAAATTGAAGCCAAAATGTGAAAGAAATGAACCGTATACAATTACTTTGAGATGATCCTTAAACAAGCCTCTTAGCAACAAGACCACATTATAACGACAAGCAATTTTGGCACCAGCATCACATAAAACTATAAAAATATATTTTTATTTTTATTTAAAAAAAGATCAAAAGGTTTTTGTATACAAACTTGTTACAGATTTTCTGTAATCTTTATGATTTTGAAATACTTTCTCTCAATCCCTACTTCTAGTCATCAGACACAAGTGGTACTATGCAATTGAAGCATAAATTTAGAGCACATCCAATAAACCATGGTTTTGGAAGGGTATGTCATCTGTAACAGTTCACTTGACTCCAAATATTTAAGACATTCTATTTGAAACACGATCAAATTTACTTTCAGGTTTAAGCGTCATTTTCAACACGTGGAAATTGAGATGCACAAGGAGCCAAATTTTGGCCAGAACAAAGCAGCTATGGGGAAGACAAAAATAGAATATACACGCAGCTGTGCAAATAAAATATCTATATAAGACGCCCTAAAAAATAAAAATAGCTTTTAATAATTTGTCTTTGTGTTGTAATTCATTAATTCACTTAGTGTAATTTCATGCTTATTAGTCAAACATGTAAGCGTAATATAATTAGCTCATAATGCTATTTCACTCAATTGGTAAGAGGGATCCTACTTGCATCTTTTGTTTACTTTCTTACAATCATATGCTCTCCTCATTTTTTGTTAAAAATAAGCTCAATAAACCACAACCAGAACTTCAGAGAGAGTGCTACTAAATCAGAAAATTTTTCATGACCAAGAATATATTCTACCACTTCAAAATTATTAAGAAAATACATACTTCGTATATTGATATATTTCAAACCATAAAAGAAATGCCAAGTGTGCAAGCCAATGACATATCATATCTGGACTGAACAATAAATCTAAAGAGTTAGAACTTTCAACATACAGTATAAATTCAGAAAATTGAGATCATACAAGCCCATACAAAAAAGCAGGCCAAGCCTCAACAACTTCTTTAAGATCACCATCTTGCGATTTCAGTCCTGAAATAAGAAGCACTTCAGAGTTAGACAGCTTTGCCCAAAACCATAAAGTGATAAAACAGAACTTTCAAAAGCTTACCAGATAAAAAGAAAAGCCAGCAGGTGATGAATTTTGAAAAGGAATATTTGTGTGCTAGACAACCCAATGCAGGACTGTAGAACCCAAGTGCTACTCCACCAACAAGAGCTGCATATATTTGGTTTGCAGGGTAATTACTAACAACAAACTATTAGAGGAAGATACTACTAGGGACTCAAACACTGAGGAGCTAGAAGTATCGGGAAACATGCAGCAAGATTATTATCTGTTTTCTCGGTTGAGACAAACTGAGTAGAAGCCCATGCATGTTGCAAGTTGCAACTTGCAATTATAAAACAAGTTATGTGCCAGAATAAGGCCAGTAATATTTCAAACTTGTAAATTTGTAATTTATATCTTGCCAAGATTCCAAAATATCTCATAGAAAGCAATAACAGTTAAGGATGTTTCCAGCTTTGTCTTTTGATGATGAAAACCAACTGAATAGTAAGCATACGACTAGCATAAAGACTAGAAAATGCCGTCATGGCCTCATGGGCGACCAATCCCTTAAGCTTGTCGTCTCAAAACTTGTTAATTAGCAGACAGGTTTGTTAGTACTTCGTAATTAGTGTTATATACTTACATGTATAAGGAATTATTCAACAAACACAACAGTACAGAAGATCTACAATCAACCATCATAAATCAAATTTTACTCATTCAAACGATCCAAATTCATAAATGTGAGCTATAAGTTGTTTTCCAAAAAAAAAAAAAATATTCAGAGTGATTCATACAAGTTTAGATAAACTGCACAATTTTAATTAACAACATTGAGTTCTAGACGATTTCAGATGAGTTCAGACACAAGATCAAACATGTCAAATGCAATTGAAGAGAACAATCCCAAATTCTCAATAACTTTATACTTCACGCATACAAATTAACTTACCTAGCGGCAGAAAGTTAGAAAGCACAAATTTCAACAATCCTTTCATGAAAGTTAGAACAGGCGCAGGAGTCAAAATTATGTTATTGCTGTTGCCATAAACATCACCCTGAAACAAAACCAATACATTATAACCATACGCCACCATTTCAAAAAAAAAAAAAAAAAAAAAAAAAAAGAGAAAAGACACTTAAAATCTGGACAATTCCAAGTAATAAACAACGTTATCATAACAATATCAGCATTGTACTCCTAACTTCCTCGGAAACCTTCAAAACAAGAATGACAATCATGCTGCATAATATAGCATCTCGCCATACACCAATCTAATGGCAACAAACATCGAAAATATTCACTAACTCTAAATTAAAATCTACCTAGTTAAATTTTAGATCCTCGTTCGGCACCAGTTGTACACTCAGCACCAATGTCACACACTCATTTCAAATTAACAATATGTTCCATTAGCTCATAATAATCATAGATGAAAATATGATTTCTAAGGATCCTAATGAACTCAATTTGAATAATGAAGCCTATAAATACGGCATCGAAACCTATTGTGAAACGTCTAATGGAAGTTGTTTAGGTAGTATAACTAACATCACTTTCACAAAGTTAGCTGATCTTAAATTCTTAAGCTAATATTACAACTGCTACAATACTTAATCCTTCAAATAGCAATATCAAACAGAGTTTTCACAATTTTCACTCAAGTTATCACATAGAACTACAGAATTATGTAATTATCATAAGATTTTGAAATTTTGTGCTTACAAAATCAAATTTCTAGCACCGCAAACAATTATGAACACATTATAACCCACATTCTTCAATTATAAGCGAAAATAAGAAATCGAAACCCTAAAATCATAAAATTACCTCAAAATTCATAGAATTAAGCAACAACAATAAACAACGAAATTCAAAAATCGAAAAAAAAATCACAAAATACCTGACTACACCTTCGAGAGAAGTTAGCATTGCGAAAAATCGAAGAACGAGTAGAGAGAGAAACGCCGGAAAATAGCGACGATTTTCCGAGATAAATCGGAAATCGACGACGGAGAAAGGCGGCGACGGGAGGAGGAGGAGAGAGAGAGAGGATAACGGCAGTTCCCGCCTCCATTGATACCGCCATTGTCAGATTGAGGAGAGAGAGTAAAATAAAGGAGAGGTCACTCAAATGTTATGCCAAATAGTGAGGTGGAGGGTATTTTAGTCTTTTCGTAATTTGGTTGATGTTTGGAAATTGTGTGAAAATAAAGGCATTGATTAAAATAAAAATAAATGATTGGAATTGGACTTCAAGCTCTAAGTTGGGGGACAGGCCTGGTGGTCCATATTTGTAGTGGAAAAATGGACAAGTTGTTTTTGGATTTAGCGGCCCATGAGATTTTGGTAAGTTTGGGTAAGGGAGATGTGAGGATGAGGAACCTTCAAATCTTCAATGAGAGGAAAATCCAAACTATTTTTGTGAAAAGAAATGTCTATGATTCACCTGATTTTCAATTATTTAGATTAATTTGAGTTTATTTACATGAAAATTGAAATGCAATAAACTTTTTATGTTAATGTCGGTGATGATACATTAAAAAATAAAGGGAAAAAACAGCGAGGTTGTAAGAAATTCAGTTGAGATGTAAGCTAAAATTACCATTGAGCCGTGCACCTACATTATGTACTAATACAAACAAGTATATCTTCTAAACTTTTTTTTACAAAAACTCTATGGGTTCAATGAATTCACATGAACCCCTCTTGTATCCGCCACCGTTCGCTGCGCAAAGACCCAAATCACAATGGTTCATTTCTTATACTCTTAGCTTTTCAAAATTATGGGCAACATGACAATGCTCACTTTTGAAACCCTCTTATTATCCACATGTGAGTTATCTTGAATTGGAGAATTAACACATTTTTTATAGAGCTATTCCCATCACCAATTAGTTTTTAGGGCGTATTCGGCAAAATATAGATGTGAAGGTAGTTGTAGATGTGGAGTTAGCTGTTAGCTGTGTAGGTAGCTGTTAGCTGTCAACAAGATGTTAGCTGTGAAGATAAATAATTTTGATATATATGAGTGTTCGGTAAAGTAGTGGTTGACTAGCTGTTACATATAAAAATCAATATTTTATTTTTAAAACTATAGATTAAATTTTCAACAGCTACCTAAAAAGCTACCTCTAATTTCTAAAGCTAATATTTCTAACTTTTCACAAAAGGTACCTCCACCACTAAAAGCTACCCTAACCACTACTTTGCCAAACACTCACATTTTTTTGTTAAGTAGTGGTTTGACTTGGTGAAACCACTAAAAGCTACTCAAAAGCTAACGCCGAACACGCCCTTAGTATGGTAGAACTCTCATTTTGTTCATTGGTTGCTTATTTTCATATTATTTGAACGGTAACAATCTTCAAAATAGTTTTTTTTTTTCTCATCACATCATCTACCATTGTTAAGCAACAAATTCAAATATTTTAATTTTTTATTTATAATAATCTTAAATCATTTTTACTGATCTGCTATCATATGCATACTTAATATGTTCTTTAAAACTAAAACTAACTAAAACTTATCTTTACTAAATTTAACTTCTTGTTTCTAGATATAACTTGTCCTTACCAAATTAAAAGTATTTAAATTGTATATTAATATGTAAAAGTGAGAATAACAAGACCTTTAATTTTAATGGTACTTAAGAGACATTTGGTTCGCAAACTGGTATGAAGTTAAATCAGAAAAGAAACCGTAGTGGTATATATGAGTTTGGAACTTAATTGACTCTTAATATTATATGTTTGGTATGATTATGGAATGATTTTTTTTTTCAATTATTTAATACCTAAAGTATGGGAATGAGCTAAATCCACCTTCCGCCTATCAAACATAAAGAATGCGTTTAATAAACTATTCTATACTCATACCTTATGCCTAAATTATCTATATATGATTTACATAAAGTGAGTTTCATTATGACGTTATTCACACGTATATTCAATATTATTACCATCGTTTATTGACATTTAACACTTATCGTACGACTCACAATTATTACATATTTTTTTTTAACTTCAATTATATATATAGTGCCTAACAAATGTATCAATCTCATTGGATAATCAACTTATCTCAGCTCAATATCTTCGTATCATCTTTGATTTATTCAACCTACCAAATCCAAGAAGTGAGAAAGTAAATCATTTATAGTTCAACCGTAAATGAGCAGTTAGGAAACAATTAAGGGGGTTAATCATGAAAACATAGACTTATATTAATAACATGACTTCCACTAGCACTAGTTATATTATCCCTTTCATTACTCTTTGGAAAGGTAGATACTAAGCTAACATACTACCAATTCAAACATTAATAGTTTGTCAAAAAGAACATACTATTTTATAAACTACCATACAAAGTACTAGTCCTTTTTTCTTTCATTCCCCTTGATTATTTCTACTTATATATTATTATAATGTTTGTTATTTAATAATTTGGTGTTTCTACCATGCGTAGACTCGTCATTTCGTCAAGAGAGTCATCCTTAAACATTTGGGTGGGTATATTACCACTTAAGTCATAAAAAGGACTCGGAATGAGAAATTTTAAACCCCTCATTCTAGAGTCTTAGTAAGGTCAGTTTGTGACTTTGTGAGGCATGTCAAAGCTGACATTATAAGCGTGTAACTTCGTATCAAGACGGCTATTCCAATTAGGTGCAAACTCGTAAAATTTCGAAGTTGGTATGTATAGCTTGGTATTTACTCCATGTATAACGTGTATGTATAAGCGTACCAAGTAGTAAAAGGTTCAAATGTTCAATAGACCTGCACTTATATTTTTGAGATAAGATAATGCGTTATGTCACTTATGTGTAAAAGAAAAATAAAAATACGGAGTATTAGTTTTGGATACAAAAATACAACACACCTGTACTCATAAAAGAAATTTCCTCTTACAAGGGACTCAGAGCCGTCTGAGGGAGGAAATTTTACTATGCTTAGCAATTTCCTCATGAAGCTAGGATGTATGATGTAGCATAACTAAATAAATAAATAAATAAAATTTACATAAATTTAGCCTAAAAATATGACGACTGTAAAGCGAATAATTGAAAGTAGAAAAAAATATACTGTATTACAAGTAGTTTAAAAGTGGCATCAAAAGAGTGCATTTATATCATACTTTATACAATAATTGGGCGCAACTTTAAGGTAGGTTGCCTTCTTTAATCTTTACTTAATTACTTTAGGGTTCTCCTATAATATCTAGCATGTATGATGGTAGTAGTTTTAACTTTAACGTTGGAGTTAGGTAACTTGTCAATCATACATAATATAAAAGGTGAAAAAAAAAAGAGGATACTGAAGCACTCCACACTCATAGATCACACAAAACTAGCCTGGAATTTACTGATCTGATGAGTAATTAACTAGTAATTAGATCATTCAATATAAGCGTATAACTGCTTAACTTGAGGTTTAGGAATTGATCCGAAAGCAGTAAGTGCACCCTAAAAATGTACGTATCAACATTTATTGAGAGTGTTTTCTTCATTTAATGTAGAAAATTATAATAAAGCTATATGTCTCATATTCAGATTAGTCAAAATTTAATTAACAGACAAAGTATTCCATAAAACATAGATTCGACCCTTTAGTTTCTTATTTAAAACATGAATTATACTCAACCACCGTCCAAATTGATTGGAAATAAGTCAAATAACCGTGTAATTCCTTGTTTGTAGACAAGAGTATTTCAGGTTATGCTACTTTTGTTACAAGAATCATTGATTACTAAAAAAAACAAGTAAATAAACTTATAAAATAAAATACAATATGAAAATTTGAAAAAATAAGATAAGTAAAAAAGAGTAATAATAAAGTGGGGTGGTGCCATGGTGGGGGCTTTTGGTTGGGGGGGGAGAATCAAAAACAGTTATCATAAAATGCAATTTTACAAAAGGAAATTCCAAAATGTTAAAGGGAAAAAGGAAGCAAAAAAAAAAAAAAAAGGGTTGAAATTTTGTTTTTAAACCCTGAAAATCCGCCAAATTGATATCCTGTCGGTAATCTCTTCATTGCTCCTTTTTCTGATGAACACCGTAAAGATTCACAAGGCTTGATATAGTCGATTCGTTTTGTAAGCCTTTAGGTATTTTACATTTTGTACATGATTTAATAATGGAGTTTCACTTTTATTTTATTCTTGTTCTCGTGAATATTTTCGCAATCTTGCTCCTGATAAAGGATAAAGATTGAAGTATTTTTATGGTCTCAAAGACGACTAAGTTCAAAGTTTCGGAGCATTATCTAAAATTCTTGATCCAATATGTCAAAGTTATTTCCTTAAGGCTCTCTACACGCACGTTAAAACATATACAACATACTTGATCGAGTATACCAATTTTTTATTTTACGATTTTTATCAAATACTCCCTCCGTTTTTAAATATTTGCTCCACTTCCTGTTCCGGTCTTTTTTAATTAAATACTTGCTTCATTTCCTTTAATGGAAAACTTTTACAATATTTAATTCATTTCTCACACTTAGTGGACCCAACATAATACTCCCTCTCTTCCTATTCTTCCACTGCTTTTATTTTTTACAATTTTTTATCTTCTCAACTAACCCCACTACCTCCATATTTAATTACTTTTTTCAATTTCTCCTAAAACTCTGCACATGGAGAAATGGAACAAGTATTTAAAAGCGGAGGAAGTATTACAAGTAACAAGTATTTGATCGAGTATATTGTATATATAGTTTGACAAGTAACATTAGTACATTACCAAGCTTTGTGATATCGATTGTTGAGTAGTCATTAGTTATTCCCAAATTTTTATTTGATTGTAATGTTACAAGTAATTTGACATAGACAAAAACTTATATTGAGAACGAAATTAACAAGGAATGGGTAATGGTGTATACAATTAATACAAAACATGCATTTATCTTGAGTATTAACTATTGAGTGATAGCTAACATCAATGTAATATTAAGGGTGTATTCTATTCACCTGAAAAACTTGGGTAGCCCTGGTTAATCCTTATCACAACTTATCTGAATTTATTTTTCATGAACTTATCTTATCTGAACTTATCAACCCTGGAATAAAAATAAGGTAAACAGAATAGGGCCCTTATCAACCCTGAAATAAGTGGAAATAAGGTGAACAGAACATGGCCTAAGATATTTTGTATTTTGCTCCTTTCTATTTTTGTCATCCAATTTCCAACCTTTGTTAATTTATTTTTGTTGTTGTCAGATAATTTACTCTTGTACTCATATTAAACCTTAATCATCATAAACAATCAT